CGTGTTGTCTTTAAAAAGTGACTGCTTTTATTGCTCATAAAAAAATCGTTGCTTCCCCGTAAATTCAAGCTCGGGTGAGCGGGCATCGAGCATGTTAACAGAGGTTCCCGGGAATAATATTTTATCGTGATCTCCTCTGCGATGGCGTCGTCCAGACGGTGCTACCGCGCGATAGTCTAAATGTTTAATTTCCCAAGTAAAACATTTTACTGTGACTGCTTTATACTATCGCATATTTCAACAGCAAACTGACGCAGCTCGCCGGTGCACGGTTCCTCTTCGAATACAGGAAATTGCTTCACTGCAGGCGACCTTGAGCGGAAAAAGTACAATAATGTTATCTATAAACAGAACGATCAAACGTTTTTCGGATATCGGGGCAATTTTCCTGAAAGATAGAAGCTTACACGGAAGCAAGAAACGAGTTCGCGAGTTTATGAACCTGCGGAACGAACTTCGTATAAATTCAATCTTATTCGTATTCCACGGAATCCTCTACATTGCGAGTGTTGTTATTCCTTTCATTTTCACTCAGCCGGTTATTAATCGACCTCGCCGGTTCTGTATCCGCGCCGTGTATCGTTAGTCACGCGTGGTACAACGAACGCTCGCGCTCAGAAAAAAAACTGAAGAGCAGTTCATAATTCCTCCGTGACCGCTTGCCCTTCCGGGCACCATCTAGCCGGTGTTCCTCTCCGCTCCAACACGATTTTCCGCTTTCAAATGTTTCCTGTTACGCGATCGCGCTCCGCGCTGCGAGATCATCCCCGGTAACGAGGACAATATTCCCTCTGGCACGTTTCCACGGGCTGCAACGCGGCCCGACGCCTTTAAATCGCACACTTTTTAACATTCTTAACACAGTTAAAACGATGCTCGCCCGCACGTTTTTAATATCGTTCGCGAGGAGTTCGCGACACGTCACAGTGGGCTTTTGATGACGACTCTAGATTCTAACGTGGAAAACACGTTGACCGTCATGGCGATACCACCACAAAATTAGCAATTGTTTCTATGCATCTTTGAAATAATAAGTGACATATAATACGCTCAATATTCTCATAGCAGCGATCGCGTTAAGTAAGCCGAACGCGACGGGGATCCGCAATATCGGAATCATTATCTTATCGGATTGTGGACGGAGGCCGCGCTCGCGTCGAGATCTTCGGCTCAGCCTCCCCGGATGAACCAACTCAACTCTATTTCGCCTCCGGAATTTGCCCACTTCCTCCTCAACCCTCGGGCCACTGACACCTAGAATTTCCGTTCCTCCGTTCTTTTATCCACGGATGACGGGGCACCGCCCTCCTCTCGCCCATCCATCGAACAATGTTGCCCGGTTGAATGCGCTCCGTTTAACGCGACGTCCGTCTGCGCCAGCTCCATTTCATATTTGATAATCTTTGGATAATCCCCACGAGCCCTGGCCCGTCTTCGTGGCAAGTCCGCTCGGCGAACACTTGATTAAGACTCGCGTCGGCCGGATATGGCGTCATTATCCCTCGGCGTACGTACGTTTCGCAAACACGGATTTCCAGCTTGCACAGCGTGTCCCACATGTAGCGGCTCGCGAAGGCGGTTGAACGCTTACGTTCACGACTTTTCATTCGTTTCTGGTATTTATAGGAAAAGTGGTAGTCTCGAGATTACCACTATCGCCGGAGTTTGAAAATTATCCTGGAACTGTATTTAGAGTACGCCGCGGCTCCGTCGAGAAAACAACGAAGATTGGTTGAATGATCGCCGCGCGACAACAGAAATTTTCATCCTTAATTGTCCGCTGTATCGCCGGTGGTCGGGACCACTGTCGGCTCCGTCGCTCTATCCCCCTTTCTCTCTGTTTCCTTTCGGCCGTCTCTTTCTGATCAGGCGCCACATCCGCTGCTCGGTTTTTCATCCAGCGTCAGGGTAATCTGGCTGGAGGCACTGCCGGCTAGAATTCCCGTTTCTCGCTTTTTCTCAGCGTTTTCTCCGCCGCGACTTAGTGCTCTCCTTTCCTCGTATAATGTACGTCGAGTTAATTGGATGAGGCGGCCTTCTCGTGACTGTTCAGGCCACTTCTACGACCGGCAGGAACTAAACTGCTGGAACTCACGATTCCTAAACGTGTTATCGTCGTTTTTCCGTGCCCCCATTGACGAAACTGCCGTGGCGCTCGAAGGAACGCAGCGGCCGCCACGTGTTTGCGTCCAATAGCGCCCGGGTCGGACTTTAAACTGAGTGCGGCAATTAGATCGCCGTTGCGAATATCGAGTTACGCGTAAGTCCCGGTGATGGCTTCTCGTAACTTGCTCCACTGAGAAACGACCGAGAAAAAATTCCCTCGTCTGGATGGAGATTCAAACGGACTTCGGTGCATCGGCCGAACAAAATGACTACACGACGGTGGTGCAATGTTTCCTGCTTGTCCTCGGTTTTCTTTTTATATTCGAGGGGTGCGGAAGTGCTTTATACACGTCGATCGACCGGCCGTAAATGCGAGACTTCCGGTGGTATACAAGCCGGGTCGCCCGATATTATTTTCAGTTAGGTCAATATTATTATCCCGGACTTTATAATACTAGTCGACGATCAACTTGATATCCTTAGACGGAATTGCATGGGTAGTTTTCATTGCATCTGTGGATGCATCTGATCATTCGCCATTAAAAGGTACTAATGTAATAATACCGAGTGAAAGGAAGGAAGCTCGACGTGGACACAGATGGCAATGAAATATGAACCAAGTATATGAATGGATCACTTTTTTACCGGGAAAAGCATTTACTTAAATAAGAGCCACGATTACGTGCCTTTCTGGCTTTTATATCTACTTTTCGATGTGCGCGATTGCTAAGCAACTCGCACTAAACCATTGCAATCGGAACACGTTCAGAGCAACCATCTGCTGCTGTCGGTGCACGTTCTGTGCGTATAATAGGACCTTCAAACCCTAGGATAATGGCCGATCTCGTACGAAGGGCAGCAGTTTATTCGGCCTTGCAGGGGTTTAGTGTGGTAGTGCTCCGCGTATGTTTCAGACAAAACGCGGCTTTTATTTCCAGCAATTATGCCTATTATACCCCAGTGGATGCTTCGCGGAATATTTGTTCTTTCGTAGCAGAGTAATAATTAACCGCGCATATTGTTCCAGCGGCGAGTTTCGCGAACATCTATATTGAATGGTAACTCTAATTGGCCGGCGCGCTCGTTCGTTTTTTCCTTGATTCGGAGATTGCGTTCCCCCTTTCGGAATGGCATTAATGACTCGGACGGAATCGATTCGACATTTATCCGCCATCAAGATTTAAACCGGGCTATTAAAATATCACCCGACGCGAGATCGGATCGAAACATTTCGTTCGAAAGCGTCGCGCCCGTGATTCAGATCCACCGGAAGATCTGCGTGATCGCCTACCGGTTTATTGGGACGTAAAACCAAAGGAAAAATGAACGTCCCATTCCGAATCTCATAGTTCACTCTCCGCCCTTAGCGGTCCGAACTTCTTTTTGCGGATCCCCATCACGGGCGGCGCGGTTACACGCTCCTCGGCGAACCCATTTCGGAAAATCAGTTTATACCTAATCCCCGAGTCGCAATCCCCGCGGACAAAGATCCTCCTTTAACAAGCTGCGCTCCGCAAAAAAGACTTGTACTCCTTCTTGCGCCGTTTCCCATCGAGCGAATCCCTCCGGGCTACTAGGATCCGGAAAGTGTCATTCACTGCGTTCTCACGGGCATAACACGGCGAAACGTTAAGTCATCCCGTAAGTAATACGTTTTTCTTCCTTAATTATTCGCCGCGGCGAACTTCCCGAACCTTTTTACCGCGATCCCGATCGTCTCTTATAACGCAACCCTTTCGGACTTCTTCTGCGCGATTCTTCCGGTCGCGTCCGTTCACCTTAATCCCATCCCGTTACGGTGGAACTATCAATTTTACTTTTCAACGAATTCCATTAAAACGCGGAGGGACATCGACGGGGGAAAAGGATCGGGAAAAAAAAGGGCTCGGTTTTAATTGCAGGATGAAGTGCCTTCTCCACTTTACCGAAGCTCGAAAGTCCCGCTACCTTCAATAATAAATATTCAATCCTGCCTCGTCGAATTCTCATAAGAAGATAAATTATTCCCCGGTAGAAATTTTTAATCAAATCCGAAAGCTGCGCGCCGGTTTCATGGCGGCTCCCTGCCTTTCATTCGCGGTCGAGTTTGCCCCGGACAAACGGCGAATCATCCCTTATTTATGTTTCTGCGCCGCGAAGGTCGCTTTAATCACGGGCGTAACCCAATTACACCTGAATACCGAATGCCGCGCAGCGGCCGGAGATTCGCGGGCTCTTATCGAACAGGGCCAATCCCGAATGTCATTCCGCCGTGTGTGTCTGTGTGCTTTTTTTTCTCTCCCCTTTTTCGGAATGGCGCCGGTGCAGTGGACCGGGGCCAAACTGGCCTCGCGGATCCCAACGGCGGGCAGTTTGTCAACCCCGACAATGCGCGCGGCGTTGTTACACCGCTAAAGTATTGGCTGGACGTGTTTACATAGGCAGATCTCGTAAGCGTCGGATATCAGCCGTCAGGCGTTCACGTGCAAAATTGCTTCGTGACGTGTTTGCCGTTTCGTACGGTCCCGCGCGTGCGTGTGCGCGCGCACACGGCCGCGTCCATGTTTGCGCGCGTTACACGCCGAAATCACGTCGATGGAGTGCGCCGGCGGACGGGACGGACGAGCTGCTACTTCAAGGCGAAATTCCCCGGGGAAAACTGTGTTTTTACGTTCGAGATAGCCGCCACTGGACCAACAGATGTTCCAGATGCGGTGAGTTTCATGCAACTATGATTTCCACCGGCGCGAATGCTTGGTGACGCTTTTTACTCGGATAGGTTATTCGTCGCGACGGTTTACCAAATATATTTGTAACTTTAAACGTACTCACAATGTGATGGTAGTTAAATATTATTTGTATCTTTTTAGAGTTATCATTCGAGTTAGTATCAATATTTTCTTTGCTTTACTTACCGTTCGAACTTAACCTCTTCATACTGGCACGTTTCGTTGAGCGCGGTGTGTTGCGTTGAGCGTTCGTTTCGTTAGACCCACATGTCTACAGTTAGAAGAAGATATATAAATCACTTTTTAATTGGAGATAGAGAGGTACACGTCTAATGAGATGTAATAACGTACCTGGAAAGTCGGATGCAAGTTTCTACGTCCACTTAACGAACCGAGTGCACCTGAGCGTCTCCTAGAATTCCCGCTCGATTACAAAATGGCGGAGTTCCCGCGCGGTGTAGAAAATGGCGCGAAACCCGAGTCAAATTAGCGACTAATTTTTATATTGGCGAAATTTACGTGAATGTGCGAGCTCGAGAAAAAGGTGTGATAAAATGCGAAATGAATTTTAGTAAAAGTTGACGAAATATTCTATTTTAATTTTAATAGTTTTATCGACATGAAATTTAAATATTGAAGTGTAGAAAAGTGCGGGAAAATTTAAATGGCCAAATTGTAATCGAGAAGTCACTTGAGTTTCACGAATCGAATAGAACGTTCGCAGTTATTACCGCAATCGTTGTCGATGAACTGATGCCCGACACGTCTGTGTCAAGGGTGGTGCCGGTCAGCTCGTTAGTCAATTCGTTTCGCTGGAAGAAACGTTCCTCGTCGATCATCGAGCGAGCAATGGCAGGGCCGAGGAATTCATTGCTAACGGTGCAATCCAGCGGCGGTTAGGGCAGATTTATGCCTCCGGGACGCGCATCGATTTATCATCGTATCGAGATTTTCCTTTACAAAAATCACTGCATGGTACCTTTATCGTTTGATCTCCTTTATTATCAGGTTTATCGCGCGCTTACAGATAAAACCACGATTGTTCCCGTGAGACTATTATCGATTAACGTGTTGAATCTCAGATTTTCTTATGTGTTCTGCGGAGCAAAACATTTATAATTCACTGATACCTAATAAAAAGAACTACATTTATAAAAGATATATACGAGTTGCTCGGAAGACAATGCGGTTAGCCTAGAGTAGGCCTGCGCAAGTTTCAGTATACTAAGAACAATCGAAAGACAGTCGACAATTGAGACGAGATCCAGCTATCTTACCCAGAATTAGCCTAATTCATTCGGTCAGGGGTCACCGGCGATCTCGTAGCGTCAACGCAGTAACACTTTGGCTGCCAACGAAACACTCATAGAAACTCCTATGCAGTCGAACCAGTTGTCTTAATAAAGCAGAAACTAACGAGTCGAGATTCTTCGTAACGATTGCTTAGCTATCTTTCTTATACCTCATACGTCCAATAATCTTACAGAGAATACGAATGCTTAAGTTTCGGTCAAAAATCGTACCGAACTCGGGCGACGTGGCAGGCAACGCGTTAAGCTACAATCTGCGGAAGACGTGCTTACATGGTAGTCGGGGAATTGTTCTCGTGGATGGGAAATGGGATGCAGTATCGGGGAAAATTGATTCGCGAAATCGAGCATCGATATTGGTACGCGCGGGAAATCGCTGGCCGCGGGGAGCCACAGGTATCCAAGCAACGAGGGCGCGGACGCACGTGCCTGTTTTCGATTCTGAAACGGGAAACGAGGTCGTTCACTGTGCTCCCGGCCCGTGGATTGCACGTCATTCCGCGCGTTGCTTATTACATTGATGTCAATGCGTGCATTAGTTACCCACGCATCCCGTGGAACGAGCATTCGCAGCTCGTCCATTCCCGCAGGCTGCTTAAACGAGCGGAATGTTTCACTTAAATGGGTATGTCCTCCCCGGCGTTCCCGCGCGTTCTCCCCTCGTGTCGCGTTCCTTCTTTTATGAACGTGTCCTCCCGCGGCCGGGTTTTCTTTTTCACCGGTGCCGGCCGTGAAAGAAGCGTGCTCGATGCTCGGCTTACACGACCATCGGGGATGTTTCAGTTTCTTCGGCCACGATCTCTCGTCGGCCAGCAAGATTAAAGGGAAGCGGAAGTGATCGACGGGTCACGGGTATTTATGCAGATACCGAGTTTCAGAGATTGTCCCAGAGATATTAGAAGTAACGAGGATTTGGTATCTCGATTAACCGTGTAGCCGTGTAGGAGGAGTATACTCGTTATGAAGTTATGAAACTTTTCTCGATAAATCTTCTTGCATCGTAATTTATTATTATATTCAGTTTTCTGTTGGGATTCATAGCTCTTGATTCTTATTTCGAAGCTACCGTGGCGTTATTGCATTTGTTTCGCGGAATAAGAAAGAATTGTATACTCGCTGCAGGCGTGCGTACGCTATAAAGACACAATACTTACAATGGAGCCGTATTTCACCTGAAATTATACGTACTTACTGGAATTGATTAAATTCCGTTTAAAGTCCTCGCGGACAAAGGTACCGTTTCGGGCGGAGTAAGAAATTAAACAGAGTATAAATACCATCCAACTAAATGACGGGTGGGTTTATATTGCCGTTGATTATGCGTATCGCGAAAATACAAAAAAAGAAGAAAATGGAAAATCAATGAACAGAGGCCGGTCACGGGAGAGGCACGGCTGAATGCCGCGGGCAATTTGAATTCAACGAAAAATTGAATAGCTACTGAGAAGCGGGGAAGAACAAATTCAGTGAGGCAATGCCGGCCTCTTCATTACATCCGCACCTTGTCGCTCGAGCGTTGAAATAAAACGACGGTAAAAGCGGAGCCGTATAGAATTCAATCTATTTCATACTCCGCATAATTAGGTACGGCGAAAAAGCCACGGGGGCTCTCAAGTTCCCAATTACCTCGTTTGAGGGAGCTCGTTGGATGTCGTTTATGACACAAGCGGCGCCGCAGACATGGCCCCTTTTAAACGGACGACGAGCTCGCCCGCTGGAAATACGAGAGACACGCTCGTTTTTACGCTTTCATTCCAACAAGTTACACGCTGCGACTGTGTATTTATTCCGCGAAAGACACGGACCCGTGTACCACGCCGGGATCAAAGTTTCCGCCGTGGGGAGCACACGACCGAACGGAGGCGTCTTCCGGTTCTGACGCGCGACTTCCTTCGCTGTAGATCATACCCACGCGACTTCCATTCCCTGTTCCACCCACGGTTCCAGAACATTAATTTCGTGTCGCGTTTTCAGCGCCCGGAAACGAAAAAAAAGGATATTGTATGTGACCTGGATCCATGCATGTCTGACAATAATACAGTAACGAAGTGATGGAGAATTTACTTGCTCAGCACTGAGCATTGGAGAGGTGACTCTCGGCCGCCGCTTGATTCGATGCATCAAAAGTATAAAGTTTCGTGTGTAATATTAAACTTCGTACAGGGAATCTATATATGAGATATCGAAATAAAATAGCTTTGACTCTAAAATTGTCCAGAATTCCTGACGTATTAGGGTCACAGGATGTCGTCTACGGTTCATCAGAAAATGTTAAATATTTTTAGTGATATTAAATATTCAATTTGTTCACGCTGGTTTTGTCGTGCTATTACGAACGCTGTGAATCGTCTAATTTCCTTGTGTCGAGTATTTTTATAGAGACATGCCTGGATGCTATAGTTAGCGTTACAGATATCCAGATTTGTGAATCGACAAGAAACGCGTGATCGACGGACACTAGAATATTCGAACAGCGGAACGTTCGAATAAGGTTCTGACTAAAAATAGAACATAGAAGATCTGCGTTACGTGAATGCCATTAAGAGCGACGTGTATTAAGCGAGAACGCGGCGATTAATTGAATTAGCGGAGCACGCTTGTTGCCAAAGTGCACCGCGGATCGCGCCGCAATCACTGTAAACACGCCGCGCCATTGTGTTTATTTTGGAGTTACAATTCGTTTCGGCGTTTCTGCTTCAATCAACGTTCCGGATATTCGATTTTCACGCGATCGACCGCGCCACCGTTTCGCGGGTACACGCTCGGCTGCAATGTCGCGATCGGAATATAAAGAAACCACTAGGAGCATTTCTAGTGCAACTTCATAGAAGTCTCGCAGAATTATTCCGATGATCTCTCGAGACTTGTTCAACCGTCTAGCCGTTCGGATCACTCGAGACGAAAGGTTGCATGGTTACGATCTATAAAACGAGTCCATACTTCACGAACCTTTTAAAATATCAACATCGAACGATCTCCGCTCTGACTTTAGATCCATTCTAGTCAATCTTAGCGACTATTTTCATCTATTCGTTAGTTTGCAACAGACATATTGGCTTTACACGTTTCGAGATGCAATAAAAAGTCCGAGTTGAAACGAAGCTAAATAGCCTGGATAGTGTTATTTGCATCAACGCTGAAACAGTGCAGGAAGCTATTTGAATTCCGAAAGTTACGTTGCACAGCGACGCTGCTTCACAGCAATCTAATCACGGTCGCTCAAGATCGGCCAGGTTTTTCAGTGAAAGCGCCGGCAATAACACTGTTAGCGGTATTTGATTCGAACAGTCGATAATTCGCGAAAGCTAAGACGCAGAAATGAAGGGGGAATGGAACGGCAAACCAACTGGTCGATGTCCCGCCGGAAAGAGGGAGATTATCGGGGCAGAGCACGGTTATCAAACAGGCGGCGGATTGATTTACATCTTCGAACGTTCCGACCAAGCGACGCGCTAATAAATCCGCCAGCTTTCCTGGCCACTCTATCCGAATGCATATTAATTCGCGCGGTTGTTGTTTTAGCCGAGTTCCCGCAAACTTTGCGTAATAACGACGCATCGACCGTTTCACGTAACCGACACGGCAATTAAGCGATGCCTATTAGAATTATGCGCCATTAACGCTTCCCGTTCGAGACGTAATTCTATGGACACTTCGATTCGATTGCCAGCGAACAGAGGAATCGTCGATCGAGATCATCACGGTGGAAATAAACGTAACCTCAGGGTATGCACCTTCGGGAAGTGACGAAGCTGCCTCGGCAGTAATATCGATTTCCTCTTGGCAACGGTCAAGGTGCGATGACTCCCTGTATTTTCAGTGCTGCCTGATTGACACCTCGTTGACAAACCAGTCACATCGCGTCGTTTCCGCGATGGGTAATTCCCCTCGCTCGATTTCCAAGCGCGGTTTCAACGGTTGACGGAAAGTGCCCGGAAACGTGGCGGTGTGGGTCGTATAGGAAATCGTTATCACGGCTACGATTGCTCGTTCGCCGTTGCTTCACTTCGTTAGCTTAGCGTATCGCTCCTCGAGTCACTGAACAATCACAAAACAGAAGTCTATACGCTGGTCGATGCTCTTACCTGCAGGATACTCCGCCTGTTCATTGGACAGCTC